CCTGTCATTACAGGCAGCCCCCCTGCTGGCAATGCAGGAGGCAGCCTACCCGGCCATGTGATTGTGGGGTCCTCGCTAGGACCCCACTCTCACATGACCGGGGAGCACCGGAGGAGAAGGATCTGCCGCGGGGGGGCTCCCTGGGAAGTTAACAAAAACCGGAGGGCGTACAATTACGCCCGGCGGCGTTTAGAGCCGCCTATTAGAGGGCGTAATTGTACGACCTCCGGTTTTAAGGGGTTAAAGGGAGTGCTCCTAATCTCAGTCTGTTACCTGTATAAAAGACACCTGACCACAGAAGCAATCAATCAATCAGATTCCAAACTCTTCACCACGTCCAAGACCAAAGATTTGTCCAAGGATGTCAGGGACAAGATTGTAGACCTACACAAGGCTGAAATGGGCTACAAGACTATCGCCAAGCGGCTTGGTGAGATGGTGACAACAGTTGGTGCGATTATTCGCAAATGGAAGAACCACAAAATAACTGTCAGTCTCCCTTGGTCTGGTGCTCCTGGCACGATCTTACCTAGTGGAGTTTCAATGATTATGAGAATGGTGAGGAATCAGCCCAGAACTACACAGGAGGATCTTGTTAATGATCTGAAGGCAGCTGGGACCATAGTCGCCAAGAAAACAATTGGTAACACACTATGCCGGGAAAGACTGAAATCCTGCAGCGCCCACAAGGTTCTCCTGCTCAAGAAAGCACATGTACAGGACCGTCTGAAGTTTGCCCATGAACATCTGAATGATTCAGAGGAGAACTGGGTGAAAGTATTGTGGTCAGATGACACCAAAATCAAGCTCTTTGTCATCAACTCAACTCGCCGTACATGGAGGTGGAAACATTATGCTTTGGGGGTGTTTTTCTGCTAAGGGAACAGGACAACTGCACCACATCAAAGGGACAATGGACGGGGCCATGAACCATCAAACCTTGGGTAAGAACCTCCTTCCCTTAGCCAGGGCTTTGAAAATGGGTCGTGGATGGGTATTCCAGCATGACAATGACCCAAAACACACAGCCAAGGCAACAAAGGAGTGGCTCAAGAAGAAGCACATTAAGGTCCTGGAGTGGCCTAGCCAGTTTCCAGACCTTAATCCATAGAAAATCTGTGAAGGGAGCTAAAAGTCAGCTTTGAAACCTTAATGACTTTGGATGAATGGGAAACACAATATACAAATACAAAGTAGTACCTGGCTGTGACCAAGAGGTGGATCAATCTTTTTACAAATGAAGAACAAGTACTCTCCAGGTGGATTTTTGACAATGATTGCAGGCCATATACATAATACAAGCATTAGCAAACATCGAGGTTCTCTAGTGTGCCTATAACAAGCCTACACCTATACATGCTTAAATACACAAATGCATTCTCACAAAGCAACACCAAAAATAAATTGCAAAGTGTAAGCAATGTGGGGCTCCAATGTGAAGATGGAGTGGAGTTCAGCACTGGCAGTCTTCTGGTCCACTTTGGTAGGGAGATTGTGCAATAAACAATGCAAAAAATATAGTAATAGTGCAGCGCTTCAATAAAATTAATTTAAAAATGTATAACAAACTATTTATCCTGAAAGTGCCAATGCCAAAGGATGAGTTTGTATTACGAGTGTTAAAGTGCCTTCAGGGTCACACACAGAAAACTGTATATCTTAGATAAAATAAAGTGTGATTGAGTAAACACACATCTAACAGTTGTACATTAAAATTCAATGGCCTTAGTCACCCCATAGGGACTTTCAAAATCAAAAATACAGATACTTCATCAAAATACAAGTGTGATCACATAGTAGAAGCAAACCTTGGACAGCAATAGTCTAGTTTTGTATTAAAACTATATTTTTTCAAGACAACATAGGAAAGTATTGATTTGGCTGAGATCATCAATTCAAGACAACATAGGAAAGTATTGATTTGGCTGAGATCATTCAATCTGATGATCTCAACCAAGGAGTGGGGGCAAAGGTGGCGTCAAATACCGCTTTGGCCAATCATCATCTCCTCATAGAGATGCACTGAATCAATGCATCTCTATGGAGAAAGTTCAGTGGTCCCATGCAGAGCGTGGAAATGCTGAACGTATGCAGCACTGACCCAGGAAGCAACTCCAGTGGCCTATGAGTGACTGCCACTGGAGGGATCCCTAGTTAACAATGTAAACAAAGAAAAGGCAGTGTTAACAGCAAATAGCATAATATTTGTAAATATTTGTAGTTTTTGCATAAACTAAAAAAGTGTTTTGCAGAATGCTGCATCATAAACCTGAATCTTTAGCTATACCCATAATGCCAGAAAAAGACTTTCTCATCAAAGCTATGAACATCGCTGGCAGTACTCAAGTATCTGAGCTACAAAGCAACCTGAGGATTAAGAGAAGGAGAGGATATTAAAAGAAACCCTACTGTTTGTAGTTTCTCTGACTGTCTGCAGCCAGTTTGTGAATTAAAAGCTGCTCACTCGGTACCGTTGAGACTGAGACTGTGTTCATGCATTTAATAATAAAGTATTTTTCTGGAATGAAGGGGCTTGGCTAAGGAGGCAGGCTTATGGTGCAGAATTCTGCAAAACATTATTTTTTTGTGCAAAAGCTATAGGTCCCTTTAGTCATTTACAGAATAGTAATTTGTTAGTATTATTTATAAGATAATTTTGCATACTCATCCATACTAATACCAAGCGTTCATACAGGTATTTTCACATATCTGATGCACAATCTAAATACATTGTTGTAATAAAGAAAACATTATTATGAAAACATATTTTGTCAATAAAAATATATCTTAAAAATAGACCATAATGGCTGTAGTTTTATACTGCACACCTATGTTATCTTCCAAATATCCTTCATATTAGATTTATGCTTTCATCAGTCCAAATTTATCGCTTCAAATGTGCTCATTAAAACAGACAAAATGAGCCACATAGATTCATTATGCTTCCGTAATAGAAAATTGTATTTCTACAGATGGCACAGTTCTCAGAAATTGGGGCCAAAAATTATATCTTATGCCAAAACTACTACCACTTTTTCTAAAACGTTACCGGAGCACTATGCCAAATAACAGAGTTCATTTAAAATAATATTAAAAAAAGTTTATTATCACTATTATATATTAGTATTATTATCAGTGCAATGGTCCTGAATGCAACTGGAATGTTTAGGTATCTCTGTATTCAGTATATTTATTAATGAGTAGAAATACTAAAGCCATAGCTGCTGCTCCAAATTAGTGGGAGTTTTAGCACAAAGCTGAATTTTATATTTGCTTTTGTATTACATAGGGCATCCAGCCTCTTCATTTTTGCCTGGAGGGATCGAAACCTCTTATGTCTCATTAAAGATTTTGCCTTTGAGGCAATAAGATGAATTATTAGAGTAAAGCTCATGAAGGATGTTTGCTTTGATTATGGCAGGTGAACTTACACTGAAATGATCATTGTAGTGATAATAATTGTAGTTATAATAATTTGCGAAGACCTCCAATGGTGACATCACCACTGGGGATGCGGTGGCCATGTGTGGTAGGGGAAGGTAAGTTATACTTACCCAAACCTTTCCCTTAAGGGCTCCGCTGTGGGTTGCAGCCAACTTGATTAGGGTGCTGTTTTGTTTGTTCCCTAAACATTGTACTAGGCGGGAAACATCTATTAGGAGAATTTAGGTAAAGGTTATTTGCACAACCGATTTAATACTGTTTTTTATTATTATTATTATTATTTTGAGCATTTTAAGCATTAAACAACAAAATGGAGGATGAATGCAATATGCTGGATTGATTATATGATTTTATCCTACCACAAATATTTTGGGGAGTTTTTTTAAGACTTAGTTGTTCTCTTTGAAAATATTTCAAAGGTGCCCTGTAATACAAAAATGGTAAAATAGTATTTTACACACTCAGTCTGTGTGTAAGTAATTGAGACTATTACTATTTAATAAAGTAGGAATTACTATGAACAGAATTGCAATTTTTGTCAGAACTAGTCATTTTTGTTCATGTAATAGTATAATATGTAATTAAATATAAATTGTTAGGTAGCTTCACTACTGCTGTTTTGTTGGTGTGCTGATTAAGGCAAAATAGATTTAAAGATAAGGTCATTATTACAATGGTATTGACAAACATTACCTCATTTCCTTTGCTTTTAGTACAATTAGATCATTTGGATGTGCACATTTGTTTGCTAATTAGTTCCATTCAAATGCTCAAATTAACATTCTTTGACTTTCTAGAGACTCAAATCTTTAATTAGTTCATGGTTGACCTAATTCTGTAGAAAGGTTTCAATAAAGAAGGTTATCTCTTTCTATAATGTTATTCACATCAACTGTAGCTTCTGAAGGTCACTTGCAGGTGCCTTTGTTTCAAACAGGATATTTTTAGTAGTGTAAAGCTACTTATAATGGATGTAGTATGTGTTTCATTTCCAGGTGGCACTGACCATGCAGCAAGTACAATATATATATATATATATATATATATATATATATATATATACAGTGAGGAGGAAAAAGTATTTGTTCCCCTGCTGATTTTGAACGTTTGCACACTGACAAAAAAATGATCAGTCTATAATTTTAATGGTAGGTGTATTTTCACAGTGAGAGACAGAATAACAAAAAAAAAAAAAACCAGAAAAAATGCATGTCAAAAAAGTTAAAAGTTGATTTGCATTTTAATGCGTGAAATAAGTATTTGATCCCCTATCAGCCAGCAAGATTTCTGGCTCCCAGTTGTCTTTTATACAGGTAATGACACAAGGCTGGAATGGGCTACAAGACCTTCGTCAAGCAGCTTGGTGAGAAGATGACAACAGTTGGTGCGATTATTCGCAAATGGGAGAAACACAAAATAACTGTCAGTCTCCCTTGGTTTGGTACTCCATGCAAGATCTCACCTCGTGGAGTTTCAATGATCATGAGAACATTGAGGAAACAGCCCAGAACTACACGTGAGGATCTTGTTAATGATCTGAAGGCAGCTGGGACCATAGTCACCAAGAAAACAATTGGTAACACACAACGCTGTAAAGGACTGAAATCCTGCAGCACCCGCATGGTCCCCCTGCTCAAGAAAGCACATGTACAGGCCTGTCTGAAGTTTGCCAATGAACATCTGAATGATTCAAAGGAGAACTGGGTGAAAGTGTTGTGGTCAGATGAGACGAAAATCGAGCTCTTTGGCATCAACTCAACTTGCCGTGTTTGGAGGAGGATTAATGCTGCCTATGACCCCAAGAACACCATCCCCACCGTCAAACATGGAGGTGGAAACATTATGCTTTGGGGGTGTTTTTCTGCTAAGGGGACCGGACAACTGCACCGCATTAAAGGGACAATGGACGGGGCCATGTACCATCAAATCTTGGGTAAGAACCTCCTTCCCTCAGCCAGGGCATTGAAAATGGGTCGTGGATGGGTATTCCAGAATGACAATGACCCAAAACACACAGCCAAAGCAACAAAGGAGTGGCTCAAGAAGAAGCACATTAAGGTCCTGGAGTGGCCTAGCCAGTCTCCAGTCCTTAATCCCATAGAAAATCTGTGAAGGGAGCTGAAGGTTCGAGTTGTCAAACGTCAGCCTCAAAACCTTAATGACCTGAAGAGGATCTGCAAAGAGGAGATGGACAAAATCCTCCTGAGATGTGTGCAAACCTGGTGGCCAACTGCAAGAAATGTCTGACCTCTGTGATTGCCAACAATGGTTTTTCCACCAAGTACTAAGTCGAAGAGGTCAAATACTTATTTCACTCAATGACATGCAAATCAATTCATAACTTTTTTGACATGCGTTTTTCTGGATTTTTTTTGTGTGGTTATTCTGTCTCTCACTGTTAAAATACACCTACCATTAAAATGATAGACTGATCATTTCTTTGTCAGTGGGCAAACATTCAAAATCAGCAGGGGACCAAATACTTTTTTCCCCTCACTGTATACACAGAATAATATCACAGGACGTTATTATGTGTTTTGCTGTTGTTGATTTTTTGGAGTAAAGTTTTTTTTAATAGCTTTATGCTGTTCCCAGAGTTCCCAGAATCTTATTGATATTTTGTAGATTGTAAACCAATTTTAGCACTATCTTCTTGTTTCTTTGAACATTATTTGTCTATGTCAATTACTTATTAAATAGTGCCATTGTACAATTGTAAAGTATTGTGAAAATTGTTGTGCCATATAAATGCTAATATTAGTAACAGTAAATTTGTTACTGATAGTATAAGGTTGAGGAATTTAAACAACTCTTAATTAAGGGTATATAATCAAGTAGCCAAAATTATATGGGTTAGGTTAAAAAATATTCTTGGGTTTGCATGTATATGCTATATGTATAAATGTTTTGAACCTCTTCCATATAGTTTTGACTACTTGTCAACCCTGACACTAATAACAACAATAACCCTAAAACAATAATGTAATATAAAATAAAACAGTGAAACATGCATGAGGGAAATGTATTATCTTGGGGGTCTGGAGAAATTTGTTTTCTTAATGTATTCATATATCTCTAGAATCACCACAAAGACATTGTGTTACGGATAACTACATCCCAAAATGCAGACCTTAAGTTAAACAAATAAAAATTCAATCAGAGAAAAATATATTACCAGTTTGATTACTGAGTTTTTATTACTGGCATCATTAAATTAGATATCACCTTCTGAAACTTCCAGAAATTTTCGGTGTGCTTCTTGATAAATAACTGTAGTACTGTACTCTGCAAATTAGTAGAGAGGAAAAGAACAGAACAAGGACACTGCACTCAGACCACTTCTTTGAGATTAAGTCACATGCAGGGAGGTGTGACTAGGGCTGCATAAACAAAGTGATATATCTCCTAAATGGCAGAGAATTGAGCAGTGAGAATGCAGGGGCATAATCTATGCACCAAAACTGATTCATTAAGCTAAAGTAGTTTGGTGACTATAGTGTCCCTTCAATGATTTCAGGAGCAATCCCTATATAGGGTAATTAAAAGTGGGAGGTACCCATCATAAAGTGTCCCCTTTCAGTACTCGGAGATGGCAATTAAACACTAGTAGTTCTACCCATTATTTCATAAGAATTTAGTATACTGCCCTATCCAACTTCTCCTGGCTAGATAGGAGTGGTTGAGATGAATCTTCTCTCATGCCACCTCTACCTCTTCCAAACATTACTATGATGAATCCTTCTTTTGCTCCTTACTTATTGGATACATCTATAGGAGATAGAGGCTGAGACAAAAATGCCTTCATCTGACTGCAAAAATCCTGGGGAGGTCTGGCAGTGCTGAATATCAAATATATTATCAGGCTAGTCATCTTATGTGGTTGGTTGAGTAGGCAAAGGTGGAGATGGAGACTCATTGGACAAAGATAGATAGACACATGATGGGCAGATTAATGCAAGCATATTTATGCTTAAATAAGCTGGTTAGTAGGTATCTACTAACCCCATCATAATGGGGTTTGGCATTCCCTGCCATGGATTAATTCTCTTGTCATTGGTCCTAAACTATTTTGTATTTAAACCCTTCCTTCCCTCCTGAATTGGCACACAAGGTCTTCCAGATTGTACCTCAGGTATGCCATGTGATTAAGCCAGAAGATTGTGTCCCGTTACAGAATTTACAAAAACCACTGCCTTTATGCAGCAGTTTAGACACCGCTAGATTACTGCCTTTATATAGGGATACACACCCTACCTCAAATGAGAATCGATAAGTTTTGAGGAGTTATGTCTTGGAGCTGACCCTCTGGAGCATGGGATCTCTTTTATATATGCTACCCTGTAGTGCCAACATAAATTCCCCACCCCTGCCTTTTGTAATAACTTAGAATCTGCATATAAACTGTTATCTATCTGTACAGAACACCACAGATTATTTTTAGGATTTATCCCTCTCAGGATGGTGGATATTGGAGAATGCATGATGAACTAGGCACTTCCTGACATATATGGTGGCATTGTGCCCAGATCATACCAATCTGGAAGCTGATATATTTAAACGATTTACAGATCAACCTCCATCATTTCAACCAGCGTCATTCCTCCTCCACTATACCTCAGCAGTGACTTCTGTTTATAAATAATCATTGATTATCCACATATTGAACACCATTAAACATTTAATTCCCATCACGTGGTGCAAGTCTGATACACCCTCCCTGCAACTTTGATTCTTCAGAATGGAGGGCAATAAAGGGGTTCACATTGCTTCAGGCCATACACAAATGCAGATAACAATCTGGACACATTGAATCACTACAACAGTAACCACTCAATTCAAGGAGCTCCTTCAGGGACTGTTAAGGCTACTTGAGACTAGTGAGAGATGAATACGGGACATATTCCTTTTCTTTCTTCTTCTTACTCTTCTTTTTTCCTACTCTTCATTCTTTTATCAATACACCGAACTTCTCCCTTTTTCAGCAAATAAACAAACAGACACTCCCAAATTGGGAAGCATTCATGTAAAGACCAATTTTTGCATGTTTTATATTTACTATGGTCCAGTGACGGATATATGCATAAATATCACAATGGAACGTTGTAAATTTCATTAAGTTTATGTTAATGCAGTATCATTTTTCTTTTTTTTTCAGAGCCTGCATGCTTTGCTGCTTATTTTGTTGGTTCGTTCTATTAAAAAAATACCCTTTACTAGGCATGTGCATGGGAAAATTTTTGGGTTCGGTCATGCATCTGAGCACACATATGTTAGCCAATCACTATGTTTAAATAATATAAAACATGTGTAGATTTAATTACTTTGTGTTTCTTAGTTTGTTGCTACTTTCACTATTTTGCAAATGGCGTCTGACTCTTGTCTTTATAGGATTCCAGAGTGGGCAGTCATGTCAGAAAGCATAAAACAGTTGTAAAGATAAAAATGAAATGAGGAACTAAAACTAAATGTGTTGACTCAGTCTTGCCTGGGTTAATCCAGACTTGCCTTATTGTTCTGCCAGACATTTGGATCATTGTACAGGTATAAATTGAAGACATAGGCAAGACTTGTATTATTTTAGTGTCATGACTCTACTCCAATGTCTAAAGTACTATTAGAATTGTTGGGAATTCTAAGTGAATTTTAAAGTTAAGGCCAAAATGAAGTGAAAATAAATTACTTAAAGGAACTTATCATCCAATATTTTTTTTAAAATGTTGCCTTGCAATTTTGCATTTAATGAAATTTGGTTTATCAAACCAAACAAATAATAATAATAATTGAGTAAACACTTTATTAAATGCCATTAAACTGACTGCAACAGATCCTGTGAATTGGTAATATTTATGTCTACTACTTTTACATTACATATCTTTCAAGATGGGAATAAGGGGCAGTGTAGGTACATAGTCCTAGGTGGTCTAAAGGGTACTTCAAGTATTCTTGTCTGTGGGTATACTTTAATATAATGTAGGAGATTGCATGAGAAAATGTATTTATTGTGTTTAGACTACACTATACATTAAATATCTAATAGCAGTCATACATATTTAGATTTTTTTTCATAATCTTTATTAAAGTTTTTTCTTTTTTCAGCATTAGATATACAATATTCATAAACATACCATTCTTTTTCTTTTCTAATTTTCTCTTTTTTTTCTCTTAACATTTACAAAACACAAACCACAACATTTAACATACATTTGTTTTATAGAACTCCGCCATTGCCGGTCCCAAGCCCGGATGAAAAAGGAGTAGGGTTGGGAGTGTGGCTAGCAACCTCACTCTGGAAAAACCTCAACCACTACATAAACGCCAAAAAGAGAAACAGAGACTAATTTCCTGGCCAATTACCCTTCTTTCGACCAGGAGAACCCATATCGGCACATGGAATGCTAGGACCATGTACGAGACAGGCAAGATAAAGTAGGTAGCTGCCAAGATGAAGAAGAACAACCTGATCATATATATCATCAGCGAAAATAGATGGACACAAGCAGGACAGAGGAGACTGATGACAGGAGAGCTGTTGCTGTACTCCGGGCAGAGAGTGATGCACCCGATACGCAGGGAGTATGCTTTATGTTGTCAAAGCAAGCACAAAGGGCACTGATTCGATGGGAGGCGCATGGCCCCAGAATCATCACAGCATCCTTCAGAATCAAACAGAAGAAGGTTAAGCTCAACGTCATCCAGAAGTAGACTCCAACCAATGATTCCAGTGAAGAAGACAGGGACGAGTTTTACAATAGACTGCAGAAAATCATAGAGACATTCCAAGCCAGAAACATTGTCATCTTTATGGGAGACTTCAATGCCAAGATTGTACCCGACAACACAGGATATGAACAAGTCATGTGGATACACGGGATGAGAGTGATGAATGATAATGGGGAGAGATTTATGGAATTGTGTGCGCTCAACAGCCTGATCATTGGAGGTAGCATCTTTCCTCACAAGCGAATCCACAAAAACACCAGGGTATCACCGGATAGTGTGACAGAGAACCAAACTGACCACATCTGCATTAGCAAGAAGTTTAAAAGATCCCTGCAGGATGTTACAGTTAGAAGAGGAGCAGATGTGACGTCCGACCACCACCTAGTAGTAGCCAGCATGCAGTTGTAGTTAAAGAAGAACTGGATGGAAACAACACAGTGTAGATTGAAGTATGATGTCGGCTGCCTAAGGATTACCAGCGTCAGGGAGGAGTTTGGACTTCAGTTGAAGAACAAGTTCGACTAGACCTTGGGAAGGTAGAAGAAAGAAAACAGAAGAAGGTGGCAGTAAACAACAGAAGGACTAGGGCAGAAAAAGCCAAGGCCCAAGTAGAATACACAGAAGCCCACAGAGCAGTGAAGAAGAGCATTATGAAGGACAAGAAAGACTATATAGATGAATTGGCAGCTGAAGCAGAACAGGCAGCATTCAATGGCCACATGAAACAGCTGTACGACATGACTAAGCAACTGTCTGGGAAGTACCGCAATCCAGAACGACCCGTCAAGGACAAGGAGGAAAATGTCATCACAGGACTATTGCAGTAGATGAATAGATTGTCTGAACACTTTGAGGAGCTCCTGAACAGACCAGAACCACCAAATACACCAGACATCAACACAGCCAACAAAGATCTCCCCATCAACTCCGGCAACCCGACTAGAGAAGAGATCAGGAAGGCCATCACCCTGATGAAGAATAGGAAGGCAACAGGACCTGATGACATACCAGGAGAGGCACTGAAAGCAGACCTGAAATCATCAGTGGAGATGCTGTACCCACTCTTCGAGAATATCTGGAAGGAAGAAGAGATACCGGTTGACTGGAAGGAGGGTTATTTAATCAAGTTTCCAAAGAAAGATGACCTCAGCAACTGTAACAACTACAGAGGTATCACACTCCTGTCAGTGCCAGGCAATGTCTAAAACCGGATGAAGGACGTCGTCGATCCACTCCTAGAGTGGATGAAGGACGTTGTTGATCCACAAAAGCGAGATAAACAAGCAGGCTTTCGTCAGAATCGATCATGCATGGACCAGATTGCAATGCTGCGCATCATAGTCGAGCAGTCCTTGGAGTGGAACTCATGCGTGTACATTAACTTCATCGACTATGAGAAGGCGTTTGACAGTGTGGATTGAGAGGTCCTATGGAAGCTCCTCCGGCATTACGGCATCCCAGGCAAGATGGTCAACCTGATCAAGAGCTCATACGAGGGAATGACCTGCAGAGTGACCCACGGAGGACAGCTTACCAACAGCTTCCAGGTGAAGACTGGATTCCGACAAGAATGCTTTCTATCCCCATTCCTCTTCCTCATCACTATCAACTGCATCATGAAGACATCCACCAGCGAATGCAGAAATGGAATCCAGTGGACCTTGTGGAGTTAACTGGATGACTTGGACTCTGCCGACGACCTCATACTTCATTCCCACAGCCAGCAGCAGATGCAAGAGAAGACCAGTGTGTTGGCAGCTACATCAGCACAGGTTGGACTCATTATCCACAAGAAGACCAAGATCCTTAAGACCAACTTCAGCAACATCAACCCAATCACCCTCAATGGAAGTCCCCTGGAGGAAGTACAGTTCTTCATCTGCATCATTGACAAGCAAGGTGGGACAGATGCAGATGTCAAGGCAAGGATCGGCAAAGCAAGAGTCGCCTTCATCCAGCTCAAGAACATCTGGGCTTCCAGAGAGCTAACCTTGACCAACAAGATCTGACTGTTCAACTCCAATGTGATGTCAGTACTGCTGTATGGGGCTGAAACCTGGAGGACAACCAAAACCATCAACAGAAGAATCCAGACATTAAACAGCTGTCTCAACATTTGATGGCCAGACACCATCAGTAACACCAACCTATGGGAAAGGACCTGCCAACTTTCAGCAGAGGTAGATATCTGGAAGAGAAGATAGGGCTGTATAGGGCATACCCTACACAAACCGCCAGCCAACATCACCAGGCAGGCTCTCAGGTGGAACCCCCAATGAAAGAGGAAGAGAGGCTGTAACGGACCGTTTTGCACACAAGGGGTAAAAACCGTTTTGGCGATCGTCCCTTTCTCAGAGATGCAGGCACAGCTATTGTAAAACACCAAACACATGAACCGCCAATAAGGGAATGTTCCAAACTCCCGAACGGCATCCAATATAGCACTCCAAACACACGAACTGGAACCATACGAATCGCTGCTAGCAGACGAATAGGAAAAGCATCCAAGTGGCTTACACTCCTAGCAATCAGTCTCTATCAGCGTTCAGTAAATCCCCCCAAAGACGAGACAAGGCTCCATGTTGAGGGTCAAGCAGTGGTCTGTTTAATGAGGGCTACCTGCCCAGTATTTATGCAGGTCTCCCACCTGGTGGACACTCCCCTAGGGGAACAAATGGGAGACTGTGACAAAGGACAGATAAGTAGACAAATAGGACACACAGTCACAGTATATTCCCACAATGCATCCTGGCTTCCTCCCCTCTGCCTTGGAGATAATTGAGAAGTAATTAAATTATCTCCCAAGACAAAGGCAAATCGCCATTATGCATGTGGGGATACTAACGCACAAATTACTATTAAAATACACTATGTGAGACACATAACATTAAAAGCATACATTTAACATATCCCCAGATTATTAAGTGAATGGCGCTCAGACCACACGAACAGTTTAATCGCCATGGAGCTAAAGTCTTTACACAGTCAGTTTCATACGAATGAGCTCCATGGGATTCCTATCTGGGGTATAACACATTCAAGCAAAACTACCGAACACCAGGCGGTTCGTGCACTTTCACTGAACAAGAAGGGAGGTTGGTGGCTTCAGCGGTGTTTGCGCAAAACTGTGTCCAATTTCAGTTCCATGAATTAAGCATCGAACACCGCTGTGCATTCGCATGTGTTCGTGATACGAATGGCGGCCACCCAGCATTCGTCAATTAAGCTGCGGTTAACCGCAGCTTCAGGGAGGCTAATTGCCGGCACACTCCAGCTCCCAGGTGGTCCAGTCATTCGTGCGGTTGTTCGGTAGATTGAATCTACCGAACACCAGGCAGAAAAGAACGAATAAATCTTTTCTGCAGGTAAAAAGATGTCTTTTAACAGGGGGCCATAGTCCAAAGGCAGTAGGCGAGCAACCAGGCTTCTCCAATGTAATGTGGCGAGATTGCTCTCGTCACAGAGGCCATCCAAGAAACACCTGGCGACACGACCTCGAGGCAAACATCACAAGGATGGGCTACACCTGGAGTCAACTAGAAAGAATGGCCATGGACAAAAGTCTCTGGAGATTTACCTTTGGCGGCCCATACCCCGGGAGGGGTGGAGGGCGTAAGTAAGTAGTTTTATTGTATTGGGAGGGTAGAGAGAGACCTGATGTTAACATGGATATTCTTCTTATTATGCCTTTAGGGTCTGTATATTACTTTGTTATAGGTTGGTATAATTTTGATTTGGTTATATTTAGTATTTTTAGTTAACCTTTGATAACCTTTAGAAATATAACATTTTTGGGGGCATTTAATATAGTTAAGCTAATATGTCTTTTCATTTGGATTTGAGCTATTAATTGGGTATTTGTTTTATTCCAAGTGGGTTTGTTATTAGATTTCCAATTTTGAGCTATAGTTAATTTTACAGCTATTATCATATGGGCAAGTAGCATTCTTAAAGATTTAGACATATTAGGCCAGTTCATATGTAACAACACCTATTTTCCCTTCAGATTAGAGACAGTGCTTTACAACAGGGATTTCTAATCTGGAGGGGAAAAAAAAGGCAGGCAATCCCCAAAAGTACCTCCCCCAATTTACCTTTGGCACTATAAAGTGTCTCTTACCTCAAACAGCCCCAGTTCTTTGCCTGCCTCCGGCAGAGGAGGGTGTTTTCAGGTATCCTCCTATTTCTCTAATTCCCAGGATTCTACAGTAGATCAGGATGGAAAGGGTAAAAATAATCATAATTCTCCGTTGGTGGCCGAGAAGAAGTTGGTTCTCTGTTCTCCTAAATATACCCGGATCAACCTTTTGGAAACTTCCCCTGTCAGTAGACATCCTGGAACACTCCATGGTACCACTTCCGACATTGAAAAAATTCAAATTGACGGCCTTGTTTCTGAATACCAGATATTAAAGGGAAAGGGTTTGTCTCCTGAAGTTATTAAGATTTTGATGTCTGCTAAAAAAGATTTATTCCAGAATATGGAAGAAGTTTTGTTTTTGGTGTATTAAGGTCAAAGAAAATCCAGTAACCGCTTCCATTCCAAACATCCTTAAATTCCTTCAGATGGGCTTTGCGAAAGGATTGAAACCAGCCACGCTCAAGATCCAAATTTCGGCGATCAGTTTCCTTTCATTCAGATGTTTGGTTTCAAATATTCTAATCACCTCTGTCTCGATTGGTTCCTACCATCAGGAAAACTTTTCCTCCATGGGATCTTAATTTGGTATTATCAGCTCTCTGTGAACCTCCGTTTGAACCTTTAGAAAAGTCTTCTCTCAAGGTTTTATTTTCAAGACTTTGTTTTTGGTGGCAATTACCTCGGCTAAAAGATTGGGAGAACTTCAAGCTCTTAATTCAGTTTTTCCTTTTTTAGTTTTCCACCAGGACAAAGTAGTGTTAAAGCTGGATCCTTCTTTTATTCCCAAGGTTTGATCTTCCTCTACCATCAATCAATAAATAATTTTACTAACTTTTTGCCAACAGCCTCCTAATGCATTAGAAGTCAAATTCCACTGCCTGGATGTTAAGAAATCTCTGCTGCAGTACCTGGAAAGTACGAAGTCTATTGTGTGCACCCTAAAGCACAAACACACGCTGCGTATACATGTATGTATGTATCCTGAGATCTCCCCTGTGTGAGGGTGCTGTTTGTGTGTGAGTGTGAGGGTGCTGTGTTTTTGTGTTTGTGAGGGTGCTGTATGTTTGTAAGGGTGCTGTTAGTGTACTGTGTGTGTGAGGGTGCTGTGTGTGTGAGGGTGCTGTATGTGTGAAGGTGCTGTATGTGTGTAGTTTCCCTGTGTGTGTGGGTGCTGTTTGTGTGCTATATGTGTGAGGGTGCTGTATGTGTGTGTATGGGGGTGGAGGTGGGGGCAGATTAGTAAATATCCCCCCTCACTTCTTACCTTATGTATAGAGGGGGGGATCCTTGCTGACATGTGCCATCCCTGGTGGTCCAGTGGAGAGTGAACTCTAGCCTGTGCGGCTAGAGTTCACTCTTGCGAGATCTGCTGGCTAGAGCTTGGGAGATAATTGAGTTATCAGCTCTCAGTGAACCTTCATTTGAACCTTTAGAAAAGTCTTCTATCAAGGTTTTATTTTCAAGACTTTGTTTTTGGGGGAAATTACCTTGGCTAAAAGATTGGGAGAATTTCAAGCTCTTAATTCAGTTTTTCCTTTTTTAGTTTTCCATCAGGACAAAGTGGTGTTAAAGCTGGATCCTTCTTTTATTCCCAAGGTTTGTTCTTCCTCTACCATCAATCAATAAATAATTTTACCAACTTTTTGCCAACAGCCTCCTAATGCATTAGAAGTCAATTTCCACTGCATGGATGTTAAGAGATCTCTGCTGCAGTACCTGGAACGTACAAAGTCCTTTAGGAAATCTAACAGACTTTTTGTCTTGTTTCATGGTCCTAGAAAAGGTGTTATGGCTTCTAAAGGGTCTCTGGTCAGATGGTTAAAAGACTGCATTTGTTTGGCTTATTCCACATCTAACGTTTCTACACCTATCACCATTAAAACTCATTCTACCAGAGCTATTTCCACATCTTGAGCCCTGAGGGCTTCAGCTACACCTTCTTAAATTTATTCTGCAGCCATGTGGTCATCTCTTCACACATTTGCTAAAAATTACAAATTAGACATACTGGCCTCGGAAGACGCAACTTTTGGGCGCTAGGTGTTACATGCAGTTGTGTAATGAGTCCCGCCCTTAGGGAATTGTTTTGGTTATACCTGTTGTAAAGCAATGCCTCTAATCTGAAGGGAAAAGCATACATTTTTACTTACCGTAAATTTATTTTTCCTGAAGATTAGAGGCAGTGCTCACTTTCCCCTCCTGATTTTTAATAAACTAAATTTTGCAGTTATCCAGCTTTTGTATTTTCTGGGGCTGTTTGAGGTAAGAGGCACTTTATAGTGCCAGAGGTAAACTGGGGGAGGTACTTAAAAATTTTGGGGATTGCCAGTCTGTTTTTTTCCCTCCAGATTAGAAATCCCTGTTGTAAAGCACTGCCTCTAATCTTCAGGAAAAATAAATTTACATTAAGTAAAAATTGATGCTTTTGGTGTCCAATTTAATTCTATTTCAGACCATAGGCATGCACAGCCTATTGCATTAGGGTGTGCACCCTAAAGCACAAACACACGCTGCGTATACATGTATGTATGTATGTATCCTGAGATCTCCCCTGTGTGAGGGTGCTGTTTGTGTGTGAGGGTGAGGGTGCTGTGTTTTTGTGTTTGTGGGGGTGCTGTATGTTTGTAAGGGTGCTGTTAGTGTACTGTGTGTGTGAGGGTGCTGTGTGTGTGTGTGTGTGAGGGTGCTGTATGTGTGAAGGTGCTGTATGTGTGTAGTTTCCCTGTGTGTGTGGGTGCTGTTTGTGTGCTATATGTGTGAGGGTGCTGTATGTGTGTGTATGGGGGTGGAGGTGGGGGCAGATTAGTAAATATCCCCCCTCCCTTCTTACCTTATGTATAGAGGGGGGATCCTTGCTGACATGTGCCA